GCACGTCATTTTTTTTTTCCGGATCAAGTTCGAAACGGCCGACTGGCGGCCATTTTGTTTTAAAGAATTCAGTTCTGGATCCGTATCCGAGACATGTCTGGATTGATCAAGTTCAAACTTCACACACAAATAGATATGTGCATTTGTTTCATAATCCGTTTAACAATAGCTGTATGATGGCCATTTTAAGGCCGAAAATGCATCAAAATCACGTATTTTCACAATTCCGGAACCAGATCTCAGTCATGCATGGATGGATTTTGTTCAGATTTAGTACAATGTGTTGTACATATGCAGGTGCATTTCGGTCATGATCTGCTTTGAATGTATATGTCACTCAAATATGAACTGAACGGAACGGGGAAATGTCATTGACAATGACTTGCTTTCACTGATTATGTTCAAATTTTAAATATTCATTATACATCATGTCATAGATAGACAGATATATTGGTTTGATGATCCTATTCAAAATGGCCAACTGGTGGCCATTTTTGTGCTAAAAAATCATCAAATATCAAGCATTTCTGGCATTTATGGATGGATTTCAGTCAAACTTGGTACATATATTAGACATTACAGGTTCCTAATGCACATCATTTATTTTTCAGATCGGATTCAAAATGGCTGTCTGGCGGCCATTTTGTTTTAATGAATGGGCTTCTAGGCTTCCATATCTCAGACTTGTTTTAGCTGATTATATTCAAATTTTAAATATTCATTATACATCATGTTGAATATACAGATATATTGGTTTGACGATCCTATTCAAAATGGCTGAATGGTGGTCATTTTTGTGTTAACAAATCATCAAATATCAAGCATTTCTGGCATTTCTGGATGGATTTCATTCAAACTTGGTACATACATTAGACATTACGGGTTCCTGATGCACTTCATTTTATTTTTCAGATTGGATGGCGGCCATTTTGTTTTAATGATTGGGCTTCTAGAGCCATATCTCTGAAATGCTTTGACTGATTATATTTAAATTTTATATATTTGTTATACATGTATTCAAAATGGCTGATTTTGAATGCTGTTCCAGAGCAATATCTCTCAATATGGACAATGTCAAATGTCAATTTTAATGTTAAAAAATCATATTCCTGACATGGTTATATTCCAGGCATATTACTATAAACAAAACTATTTATCTTAAATTTGATAACTAACAGGGACTGTGCCATGCATGGCTTGTTAATTTATAACTTAGAGTCTTTAAAGTTTCTTAACAAATATTTGACTCGAGTGAGTAGCCTAATTTGCATATTGCAATAACGTATTCTGTCGCAAAAAAAAAAAATGGTAATATTTCATAATGATTTATTATATCATGATTGATGTTATTTGAGCAGATACAGCATCTAAAAACATCAAATGTATGAGAGTATGGGGAGTACGCATGCGCAGTTACAAAAGTGATGCGGCCATTTTTTCAGTTTGACGAAAAGGCAGTACCCTTTCCGAAGACAAAATGGCGGTAGTTTTGTGTAGGGTCGATCGCGATCTTCGGTTTGTATCAAAAGCACGTCTCACAAGTGAAATATTTTTTTTTTGAGTGATAATTTGATAGCAAGTAAACAAGATTTCAATCGTTGGCATATGTAAGGGCTGGATCACTTACTTTCAAGGGCTCAAAGTCCGGACGAACATTAAACTACAATGTTTTTATTTATCTGTTCTAGGTATGTTGTACAGACTTTTTAGTTGTACTATTTTGATGATTTAATTTCAAGAATCTGTCAAGGAAACAATCTGTTGTTACTTTACATGTTCACGTAGGTTTAATTTAGCAGATTTTGCGTCTAGAAGATCTATCCTGATTTGCTGCACTGAGGTTAATTGCGGTTTTTACTACTCCATCGCTAATGACACTAATTACCAAGAATTAAAAAAAAACAAGTGAAATTAAGTCGCATTGGGAAAAAAACCCATAAGAAAATCAAAGCAAAAATTATTCAACTACAGACTAGACAAACCCCGACCTCTAGAAATACCTCATTCATAGAGTGCCTCATTAGTGCCCTTTGTTTACAAGTATAGTGTCCTTGCATGTTTTTCAAAATGCCCATATCAAAATCATATGTTTCCATATACAGTATGTCATAGATTCTCAGACATCTTGATCAATTTTATTGATGGATTGACCTACATGAAATTACATTCACTTATTAGGCAAAGCCTATACCTATATAATACATGCTTTGATCACACGAGAGCTATTTACAGTTTAACTTTGATTTTAGATTAAGTCAGGTTTTTACTGCATATTGCATTTATATAGACACAGAAGAGGTATACCGGTACTCAGTGAAAATCGAAAATGTAAACCATATAACGTTTACATATATTTTATTTTGTAAAAACCTAAATTTTCAGTAAAAGTTAATATTACAATTAATATTAAATGAATAATTAGTTGTAAATATTTTTAACTTGGCTCCATTCTCCACTTGCACACTAATTTTTGAACTTATCTTTTTTCAGATGCAACATGGAATATTCAAACTATGAGGAGTGTAATCTCTTCTACAATGGAAGCAACATCGTTGAAATTCAACCACAGTCAATACTTGATTTCTATCAAGTTTATCTCCCAGTTTGGTTTAATGTGGCCATTCTTGTTGCTGTTGCTATCACTTTCAGACTTATTGCATATCTTCTACTCAGATATCTCCGGAAACCAAAATGAGAACTTTTCCAAAACAATGATGAACGACCAGCCAACCCATAATAGGCGAAAGCTCACTTTGAGCGATGTATATGTATGTACGAGGCGTGAGGTAGATGTTATTGGCAACCGTGGGGATCCATTATACTAAACAACAGGTGTACCTATTTTATATTAAAATTAGTAATATATCATATCATATCATATCTGGTGTGTGTGTGTGTGTGGGGGGGGGGGGGGCTATACATCTATGTATCAGGGGACTACATAGCGTATATCTTGGGAGTATGTATATATCTACATTTCAAGGAACCATATATCTTATATCAAGGAACCATATATCTTATATCAAGGAACCATATACATAGACTCATCTATTCTATTTGTGGGTCTTCTCCAATTCATATGTGGTTTTCTTAGGCTTGATTACAGAAACAATGTAGTTTCTAAAAGATTATGTATTCTATTGCACTAATTTATTGTCAGAAAAGAGTATTTATGTATGATCCTAGTGGTACCATCATTTACATCAGATTATCTATAAATGTAAACAAATGGATGACTGAAAATACAAAACAATAAGAATAAGTGTCTCTATTGTTGAAGAAGCCTGATATCTATTTCATATTCTTGAGACGTATTTTCTTTAATAATTATTGATTTCATGTTCAAGGTAAACAAAATATCAGCATTAATTTCAATAATTTACTCATCTAGGGAAAGCAAATTCAAAATAAATATACCGTGTTTGTATATACGCTGACTGGTCAAATACATATTTTTTTTTTTCATGTACCATTTCTAGCTCAAGTTACAAACAGAGCTTGGTTATATTAGATGGGGAGATTCATGTACACCTAAAACAGTTATATTAGCTATGTTGTAAATATGTAAGCCAGATTACATACAAGATGTTAACACCTTCAATTTACATATTTTTAAATGTCAAACTGTGACTTCTCATGCACAAGTTTTTCAAAACCAACTGTGTTTTAATAACATTAAAAGAGACGTACTATAACCTGAGCTGGCCTGATATAACACAAGGGTGTTACGAAACACGCGTCACTAATGATTCAAATCAAGCAAATAAGAGGTAAATAATTACAAGAATATTACAATCAGATAATTTTTGGTTTCAATCTACATTATAAATAAAATTTTATGTTGAGCTCTTTGTATTCATTTCTTCCTTTTCAATACTATTTTCTCCCAGCCAATGGTCGGGTTTTCTAAAAATACCGATATTGCAAACGCCACGGTAAACGTCAAAAGGATTCCCCCAAGTACCAAATAAACCTGCAAATGAGAATTTAGAGAGCATTTTATTTTGTGTTTTTTTTTTGTTTGTCGCTCCTGGTACAGTAAAACTGTGTTCATGCCACCAGCAACGAACCCAATAAAGTGTAGGCCGGATTCTAATTTCATTTCACTCACACTTTTAAAGCGCGGTAGTCGTTGCGCTGCGCACGTGCCACATTTGTGTTGATAAACATTGATTTTCACGCAATCGCTCTTCAAATGGAAATTGCAAGTATGTGGTTTGACCTGGACGCGACTTGCACTGATTACCGCTGGTGACACCTTCGATGCCTTCCAATAACATGAAAATTACTTAATTAAAAGCTTGGAAACGTCTCAGTTTGTACAGTCAAAGTCGCCATCTTTGTTTATATGAGACCCGCGACAGCTACCACGCTTTAAGTAAGAACATAATCTCAGCTGAGTTGCCGCTTTCCCCCTGTTTTACATACTTCTGTATGGAATATCTAGTTGTAGAGTGACATTATAATGCGATATTTATAAAATATATTTTCGTTATCATATGCTTAACAAGTGAATGTAACACAGTCCAAAATACATGTCAAAATTAGCAGAATCTGGGTATTTTCAATATACAAATATAATTTACCATGAACTCGGCAAATATGGCTAATCTAAATACATGTAGGGGTGGACATTTTTAAGTATAAATATACATAGAATACATCATCATATTAAGTAAGTACTGTCTAGATTAAAAAGCCGTGGTCATCTTGCCAAGTGATATATGGGTCCCATACGACCAAAAATGGTGAACAGATGGAAGACTAACGCATCTATGAATATTCATGATCAAAATCTTGGTATATAGTGAACACTCCCATCTAAATCAAAACTTGCATTAGAAAATCAACCTAAATCCACGACCATCGCCTTTTATGAAGTGCACTTTGAAAACAAATTTAGAATTGGTCTTGGGTGAATTTACTCACCAGATTGTATACGTCATAGAATAACAATCTATCACGAATGAATTCACTCATCAGATTGTATACGTCATAGAATAACAATCTATCACGAATGAATTCACTCACCAGATTGTATATGTCATAGAATAACAACCTATCACGAATGAATTCACTCACCAGATTGTATACGTCATAGAATAACAACCTATCACGAATGAATTCACTCACCAGATTGTATACGTCATAGAATAACAACCTATCACGAATGAATTCACTCACCAGATTGTATACGTCATAGAATAACAACCTATCACGGCTCATGTATCCCATGGCAATGACAGGAAGATGTATCATGTACGCACTGAACGTGAGTCGTGACAGTGGTATCCAAATCTTCCATGACAGAATAGCGTTGACTGGACCTGGAGGATAAAATCATGTGATTATTATGTATTGTTTCTTGTTGGAAAACATTTTGTGCAAAGATACCGCAATATGAATTACGCTATTGATACAAATACGATAGTGCCAGACATCAAATTTATCAGTTTAGGCGTAAAGGCTTCCATGATTCTCTGGCCCTAAGACACTTTACACAACACATGGTCCTAAATTCAGGACACCGGAACTTGAAGGCTGCACGTTGGGTAGTCCATGTGGCTTCCAAATACCCAAGCCAGCCAAGAAAGCCTTAATAATATAAGCATAGGAACTGTAAAACGTAGGTTTTATTTTAATATAGTTTCTAGTCATAGAATTAAAAAAAATCGGTTGCTACAATCAGCCGACGTCTTCTTTTTATTTTATTTAAACTACAAAAACAAATTAATCGCCTCGACTGCGCCATTCTTGGTTCTTGCAAGCCTGTGCTCTAACGTGAAGTTGAAGTTGAACTTCTAAAACGAACAGAGCAAGTAACCAACTGTAATATTTGCTTAAACTGTGATATTTTGCCCTGGCCAAACTAACTCATAGACCGCAATGCGCAAGTCCTGGATCGAACAAGTCACCCATATAACTGCTGGGCTGAACTATTTTGCAAGTTTCCTACCGAAATCCTTGGCAAAATTGTGATTGTTGGCCAAACTGAACAAGTTACCCAAAAAAACTCATTAGTAGAACAGTATAATTCACCCATCAAACTCCTGGCCGAACTGTGCAAGTTTAACAACGGTGCAAATTACCCACCCAATTCCCAAAAGTGTGCAAATTACACAACCAAATCATTGGTTAAACTGTGCGAGTTTCCCGACAAACCTCTGGGCTAAACAATACAATTTACCGATAAGCCATATTCCGCGTTAAGCGAGATCATACGAAATCTCGTGTGATCTAAATCACGCACTTAGCAACCGGGCGACAAAGGTCAAGCTTTTCATTCACGACGGTGGCAACCATATTGATTGCAGTGTTGTAAACAACAATCACTCAACAGTATCGGCATTTAAAGCATCAATGGGAGTTAAACGTTGTGCGTATGACGAATGTAAGAGTGATTCGAGGTTTGAAAAGAAGGATTACATGAATGGAGTGTTTTTTGCACGTTTTCCGAAGCCGAAACGTCAACCGGAAAAATGTGATCGGTGGATCAGTGCGTGTTCTCGTGGTGACGACTTCGGAAGACATTGAATCAAACAAGACACGTACGTGTGTTCTTTACATTTTGTTGGTGGTAATGGTCACACAAGACCAAGTAAGAGCATCTCTGCCAGCAGCATTTCGACACTTCAAAAGAACTGTGGCCATTATTGACTGCACAGATTTCACAAAGGATTACCTGGTCATCTTATAAGCACCACAATACATTCAAGGCACTTGTAGCAATTTCACCCAGTGGAGCTTTTACCTTTGTGTCTGATTTGTGGACTGGATCAGTGTCTGACAAGCAGATTGTGAAAGATAGTGGTTTTTTGGACAAAGTGAAGACAGGTGATGATATTATGGCTGATCGGGGATTTTTGATACGTGACCTACTTGCCTTTCAAGGAGCCACTTTGAACATTCCCCCATTTGATTTTGGAAAGCAACTCAGCAGTGCAGCAGTACCCAAGACAAGGCGAATTGCCAGTGCACGCATTCATGTTGAGAGAGCAATTGGTCGTTTAAAAACTTTCAAAATTCCACAGGGTAGTTTGTAGTCTTCAAATGATTTGTATGCTCGGAGCTTCTACCGGTCATAGTCAGACCTGTGGCACATAAGATAATTAAAACATCGCTCAAACCAAAGTCAGGAACATCTGAAAAGTCAGTACTGTAACCGGGGAGGGTAAGAGGGTCTGTAAAATCACATCCTAGCTGTTTTAGTCGGTCACTGACGTCCCTTTTTGGATCGCGTCTTGTCATATCCGGGTCTTCGTCTAGCCCTAAACTGTGGACTGCTTTTGCCAGCGAAACTAAAATATTCTTTCTATAATTTGCAGTGGACACGCCAAATTTGCGAAGAAAGTCTTTTAGCCTCGGGACTGTGAGCTTTTCAAAAGCATCCATAATCAATTAATAGCGAAAATCAGTTCTAAATATTGCCGAGTCGCGTGTGTGGTCTACATGTCACGACGCCATTTTGTTCTAAAGCTTGACCTGCCAGCAACCGTTGCTATGGCGTAATCTCACTCTCGCGCGATCCCGCAGTTGGCGGAATATCCATTATTGAATTCCTATGCCGAGTTGTGAAAGTTACCCATCAAACACCTGAGCCAAGCAGTGCAAAATGCCAACCGAACTCCAGGGCCAGATTGTGCAGGTTGCCCAGCTGACTTCTGGGCTGAACTTTGCAAGTTGCCCATCAAACTCTTGAGTCAAATAGTACAAATTCCTTACCGAACTCCCGAAAAATGATCGCTCTTGCTCGCATGGCAAATCAATAGATGTATAATGTTTACCTGGCTATGTAATGATGAATTTATTACCTCCATATCCTGTGACACATGCTATTGTCATCCAACCCAATGCTACAGCCCATGCTGGACGACTAAGTGTGAGATATAACACGGCTAACCATTGTGGCATATAGTGTCCTTCTACTGTGTACCATAAACCATAGATAATAGCCAATCCTGTAGCAATGGCTGCACACCAACCACTAACTACATATGCCTTCCATTCGGAGAATAGAAATAAGAACTATTATAATTGCTGACACATTTCAATTAAATTGAATACTGTAAAATGACTAATTTTCACTGGGTTTAAATTTCACTGATTTACCATTTCAGGCATATTCAGTGGGTTTTAAATTCACGGTTTCGTCATTTAGATAATGTGTTCTCTGCTAAATTTTACACATTCACTGGGTTTTAATTTAGCGCATATTCTAGTCAGCGAAATAAGCTAAATTAAAACCCAGTGAATAATTACCCCCTTTACAGTATCACATAAATGGATTTATTTCAAAATGATAAACCATTTTTTTCGACTAATTATCATCTATTATTGGGGGTATAGCTTCTCAAAGTTTCATAATTAAATTCGTGTTAATCATATGTAATTATGCATTTTTGTCATACAGTGCTAACCTCTCAATACTGTCATTACTTACCAATCTCATTTTGAATTTTTCCCCCTCCAATCTATAGAGTATATATCCTGTAACCATGCCAACCATGTACACAGGCCACCTTGTGTATGTTTTCCCATATATAACGTCAATACCATTAGCATCTTCTATGTTATCATTGTACCTCCTTAGAAAGTGAGTGAAACAATATGCTAGTTCATATACTCGAACACTCGAACCACAGAAAAAATGCATTTATTTTCAATGCACCAATTTGTAAGAATCTGAAAACGACCATGCAGGTATATGTGCGTTCTCTTATCATATGACAACATGTGTTGTTATTTTGGCCAAATCGACTGAATGAAATGAAATATTATAAAAACTTTACTCTTGAAACATTGAAGCAACTTCTCCGAAGTATGTAGCAATAAAAGCGACGACACACCAACACGCCACACACAGCAATGCGATCAACCCCATGCCCAATTTCCAAGACCTGTAAAACAAAAGGACTTGAGTGGTTGATAGTTGTTTTATTGCTATGTAAATTAGGTAAGAATAACCGGAAGTCCATCTTTTATATATGAATGTTTTTTTCTTCTTTGTTTAGATTGTTAGTTTGTTTGAGACAAACACTGAACACTAGTCACAGCCAATCTATCTAGGTTTGGGTCTTTTATTTTTATTTGTTTGTCAATGAGTAGCTTATTTGAGACGATAACTGAACATTGTAAATTGTGCTTTGTAATCAGGGCAAATAAAGAAGAAAATCAAAATGAAGTACCTGTAAAGCAGAATAAGTATTGGTGGACTGAGCCAATAGAACTGCATATCACATGCCAGATACCACACCCATCCAATACACTACGTACAGAAAAATACACTAAATCTGGCATTACTGATCACATTCATAGATCCAGTCACAGTCCCTCTAGAGGAACTGTGATTCAGTCTATTAAATTCCAAGTTTTATTCGTTTAAACGAGTCAAATCTCATTATTGTCATGAAGGGTTCAAGGAATTTTCTATACTTTTGTAATCACTTGTATATACACACACCATTATTTAAATACATATTGCTGTGCTAAAAAAACACACTTTCTGTTAAGAAATTCGTACATAATTGCTGACAGAACTCACTAAAAGTAGACAGGACTCACTGAATGCCATCACTAAAACTAGATAGGACTCACTGAATGCCCTTACTAAAAGTATACAGGACTCACTGAATGCCCCCAATAAAACGAGACAGGACTCACTAAATGCCCTCACTAAAAGTAGACAGGACTCACTGAATGCCATCACTAAAAGTAGACAGGACTCACTGAATGCCATCACTAAAACTAGACAGGACTCACTGAATGCCCTAAATAAAACTAGACAGGACTCACTGAATGCCCTTACTAAAAGTAGACGGGACTCACTGAATGCCCCCAATAAAACGAGACAGGACTCACTAAATGCCCTCACTAAAAGTAGACGGGACTCACTGAATGCCATCACTAAAACTAGACAGGGCTCACTGAATGCCCTTACTAAAAGTAGACGGAACTCGCGTGAATACCCTCAATAAAACGAGGCAGGACTCACTAGATGCGCTCAATAAAACTAGACAGGACTCACTGAATGTCCTCAATACAACTAGACAGGACTCACTGAATGTCCTCAATACAACTAGACAGGACTCACTAAATGCCATCACTAAAAGTAGACAGGACTCACTGAATGCCATCACTAAAAGTGGACAGGACTCACTAAATGTTCTCACTAAAAGTAGACAGGACTCACTAAAAGTCCTCACTAAAAATAGACAGGACTCACTGAATGTTCTCACTAAAAATAGACAGGACTCACTGAATGCCATCATTAAAAGTAGACAGGATTCACTGAATGTCGTCAATAAAACTAGACAGGACTCACTGAATGCCCTCACTAAAACTAGACAGGACTCACTGAATGCCCTCACTAAAAGTAGACGAGACTCACTGAATG